CCACTCAAACAGCAGTTAACCTCAAGAAGCTGGTTCTGTGTGGCACACACATGCTCTTGGCTTAAACATGCTCCTGGCTCTTGCCCTCCCAGCAGCTTCTCTCTGCTTCTGCAAGTGTTTCTGAGTCAGAGACTTTCAGAGCAGGGACATGGAGGGCATCCTCAAGTTAGGGTTTTCCTTGGCAAATATGGAGAAGGAGGAGTGTGAATGTGGAGAGAGCCAAGCAGTCAGAGGACTCTCCTCTGCTGGCGAGTTTATTGTTTTATGCTGCCACCTGGCTGATCAATGAACTGCAAATTCCTGCACATAGAGGAAAAAAAGAAAGAAAGCCAGTGAAGGCAGGGATCTCAAAGTCAAGTTTTCTGATACGAAGAGGGGACACATAAAGGGAATAAAAGCAATCTAAAGCAGACTTCACCCCCACTTCTCCCTAGGTCAACTAATATGAAACCTCATGGAGATGAGGCTTTTAATAATTGTACCTAAAACAGTCTAAAGAGCAAGGATGTCACTCTAAAGACTAAGGTGTGCCTGATCCAAGCTGTAGTGCTGCTTCACTGTTTTACATGTATGTGAAAGCTGAGCAATAAACAATGAAGATAAAAGAAGAGTTAATGGTTTTTTAAATTGTTAACAAAGAATATTAAGTATACCATGGACTGCTAAAAGAATAAACAAATCTGTCCTGGAAGAAGTGCAGCCAGAGTACTCCTTGTAGACAAGGTTGGTGAGACTTCATCTCACATACTTTGGGCAGGTTGTAAAGAAGGGCCAGTCTGTGATTCTTTCAACAACCATTGAACTCCTGTGATAATCCAGGCACTGGCCTATGCACTGGGGGGCTGGAGATGAGTCAGACAAGTAGCTGTTTCCCTCCAGGTATCACAGAACAAAGACCTTGCCCCATGCTCCTATGAGGTCAAGTTGCTCTGGAAACGTGGCCATCCTATGTCGGTTGTTATTGTTGTTGTGTACCATTGGAACCAATCCATAGCTGACCCTCTAGGGGGTTTCCAGAGGCAGTAAGTTCCACAGGAGGAGACAGCCCATCTTTCTTCTATGAAGCAACTGGTAGGTTTCAACCCCATGTTAGCAATGCAACTCCTTTCCATTACGCCAACAGTGCTCCCTCCCTGTTTCTGGGATGTAATAAACAGACATTTCTCCCACTAATCCTGCCTACTTTTCATTAATTTATTCATTAAAAAACATATGTACTGAGGACTCATATCACATCTTCCATCCGGGAGTGACTGGGTGGCACATACAGAGCACTCCTCCACCACTAACTCAAAGGCTGGAGGTTTGAGTCCTCCAGAGGCACCTTGGAAGACCTGCCTGGACTATTGTGAGGATGGTGCAAGACAGGCAGTGTTTCATCCACTGTTTCAGGGTCGATTGTTGTGGTTGTTTTTTGTATGCCCTGGAGTCAGAACCACCCCATAGTTGAACCTCCAGTGGGTTTTCAGAGGCAGTAAATAGCCAATGAGGAGAATGCCCATCCTTCTCCCATGGAGCAGCTGGTGCCTTTGAACCACAAGTCTTGGAGATTGCAGTGCACTTCTTATCACTTGGCCACCAGAGCTCCCCAGAGGAGACAGCATTTAATGAGAGTAACTGATTGTATTCCAGGATTCCAGGAGGTGCTCTGAGTTGGGGTACAGCAATACACAAAATAGACAAAAGCCCTCACCCTCATTGAACACCCATTTCAGCCCTCATTCTGGGACAAATTGGGGGAGGTGCAGGAAAAGAAGTAAGTAAACGATTCAGAACGTTAGAAGAAACCAAAAAAGTACATCAGGAGACTAGAAGAGGGAAGGCAAGCAATGTTTTCAATGGGCCACTGGGCTCCCTGAGAAGTGATGTTTAAAGACAGACAAACCAACCGACAAGAATGAGCATTCTCTCTCCCCTGTGTCTGCAGCTTGTGCTGCAAATATGTTAAAGCTACATTTCCAGGAGAAAAACAAAACAAAACAAACAAACAAAAACCCCAGCGTGTTCGCAACTGCTAACAGGAAAAGAGGCAATATCAAAGCAGGCAAAGCCTGGGACAACAGAATTATTCCATGTCGAACTGTCTCTGATGGACACTTGAAAACCAGCCCCAGGGACAGAGCGGGGCCTTCCAGGCCGAGGGGCTCCAGGGCCCCCTCTCTCCGGTTGTCAGGCTAATCCCACCACCCCCTCCAGTCCCTCCACGCCCTAGGGGGTGTTTGGAGAAGGAAAGTTCAAATCCGGCTGAAACAACCCAGGGAGGTGCTTGAAATGCGAAGGAAGGGCTGCTGTGGGGCGCGGACACCTGGCTGTGGGGCGCTGGCCCTGTGCACCCTGGGTCCTCCTAGGCCGGGGGACTCGCTCATCCAACCCCTGCCTGAGCTCTTCGCCCGCCTAGCCTAGACCCACCCTCTCGCCTTCCCAGACTGCATGTAACTTCCTTTTTGAAAACGATCATGCTCAGGGGCGCGCCCGTGGCAGGGGACCGCTGCGCAGTGCGCCCCTTTTCCGGACCAGCGGCCTGTGGGTTCAGAGATGGCGGATTAAATGCGCGTTGGTTGCGAGCTCCCCGCCCGAAAACCCTCTCAGGATGCTGTTTTGCTCGAGTCTGGCCCAAGTCTCTCCCGCGCCGAGTCGCACAACAAACCATTTAAACACTGCAGCACAAAACCCCGCTCCATTGTGGAGCCGCACATTAAAAAGTGTTATTCGCTTTGAAGTTTTTGTCTAATGGCTCTAAACTGAAAGAAAATGTTTTCCTATTACTTAATTCAATCATAGCGAAGAGACTTGGTAAAAAGCCCACGGATTTTGCCCCAAAGTGTGACAGAGTTCTCTTTGTGTTTGCTTATTCTGCGCTGTCACACACTTTAATTCGCCTCTCTTTATCTGGCATTCAAAACTTTCCTCAATGACATTCAATAAGGTCCAGAGGCTGAAGAGGAGGGGGGAAACTGGTTATTTCCCCCCTCCATAGTCTTTCCCAGTAGCTTTGGCCTTGCTCACACGCAGGGTCTCTTAACCCCTTCCTCCCCGGTCCACAGGAGGCCCCGGGCGAGCCCCACACTGGCCTCGCGCGGGCTCTCAGCTCCTGGGCGCACGGCCACCTCCTTCAGCTGGCAGGCCCTAGGTGCACCCAGCGCCTCTCCCACCAGCCTCTGCTCAGCGGGGCGCCCCTCTGTGAGCGCTGGTCCCGGGCTCCACTAGGTCTTATCGGCCCAGCGCTGCTCAAGCGTCCCAGAAAGCAACGTGGACGCGAATTAGGCTGGGTGAGCGCGTTCACGCTGTTTTGCAGGCACTTCCCAACGTGGGGGCGCCTTGAGACGATGGGGTTGAAGAGTTAACTCCCTCCCCAACTTGTGCCAAGTAATTGGGAATATACTGGACTCCTGCTAGCCCCCTATCCAAAGGATTTCCCACTTTACCTCTCTACAAATGGATTTATTTACCCCCCCCCATAACAAATGCGCTTTGCTTTTCAATCCGTTTCACTTTTGTTTATTTGTTATTGTAACAGAAATTCAATCAATGCTCAAGTCCCTTGTCCGGCGCGCACCGTTTCCTCCCTCGGGAACGGGACCCCCTCTGATTCTCACAATCCCATTCAAGGCACAAGGCTGCAGCTCTCGGGTCCCCAGAAAAACCGAAAGCAAACGTCTCGCGTGAAAAGTCTCGGGCTGGAAATGCGAACTATTTATGCTAATTTCCCATTGTATGGAAAAGCCCCTGGGCGAAGAAAGCTGGGGCTGTGTACACAGCGCCAGGCTGTTTGAAGTTGTTTAACCATTATGTGACCAGGAAGAAGAGAGTGGCGCTGCGAGAGGAAGGACTGGGTCTCAGGAAATGAAAGCCTGGACCAGGGTGGCGAAGGAGGGGATTTGCGAGTTCGCAGGCGACGGCACGCCACTCGCGTGCGCGCAAGTAGGAAGTGCGCCCGCGAAGTTCCCGTGGGGAAGCGTCGTCTGGCCCCGCCACCACCGCCGTCCGGTTTGGCTGCAAGATCTCAAAATCTATACCAGCTAGATTTTCCTTTTTCCTTCTCCATCCTCTGTTGGGGACTTTCTGCGTCCATTTTCCTTTTCAATTTCTTTCTTCTTTTCTTGAACATCCTCAGCCCTGAGATATGACAGAAAAGCCCTGCTGACCAGAATGTACTGAACAAAGGCTGGCGATGTAAGCAACCCTAAGTGACCATTATCTGGGAAACTTAAAGGAAAAGAGCCGTGAGGAGTCTAGTGATGGATAGGGAGGCCGGGGCGCTTCTCTTTCCTCCTCAGCTTCATCTGCAAGAGCCCAATCCCTTTGGACCCTGGCCGAGAGGGGATTCCACAGGTGGAAATGAGAGCAGGGCCCGGGTGCACATCGCTTAGGCGCTGAGTGAAAACAGCGTGCCCATGGGAATAGGGGGAACCTGGGAGAAGGAAAGTGATGGGGGGACAAGTGTGCAGGGATGAGGGGTGTGCTCAAAGCGATGAGTACGAGCTGGGCAGCGGGGTGCAAAATCAGTCCGATGAGCGGGCCTATCTAGAATACAAAGCCAAAACGGAGTAAGGAATAAAGAGAAAGAAAAGAATATTAAATCGCAGGAGAATGAGAAAATAAACCCGCAAAAGGGAGAGGAGGGGGCGAGGGCGCCTGTTACGGCGTGGGTGGGGTTGACAAGAATAGAGTACATTATGCAGTTCATTTAGTTAACAAGTGAAATAATGAGGAAGCGTGCAGAGTGAATGCCAAGAGAAAAGGCACAAAAACCCTATTGAGAGGCCCCGGCCGCTCCTGGCGTAGCCCATCACATGGCAATAGTCCTATTTAAGCGGCGACGCCGGCGCCTTTCAGCACCACTAGCGCTGGCCAGCACCCCGCGCTCTGTGGGCGGCGCCCGTGGCAGCAGCAGCGGCGGCGGCTTGAGCCGCGGCCTGGCCATCCGCTCGCGCCTCCCGGGTGGAGGCAGCTGCCGGGGGCGGCCGGCCCGACGAGCCCGCGGAGAGCCAGGAGTGGCGCGGCGCGCGCGGGTGCCGGCTGCGGGGCGGCTGCGCTTCGGAACCATGCCGCGCTCCTTCCTGGTGGACTCTCTGGTGCTGCGCGAGGCGGGCGAGAAGAAGGCGCCCGAGGGCAGCCCGCCGCCGCTCTTCCCCTACGCGGTGCCCCCGCCGCACGCGCTGCACGGCCTCTCGCCCGGCGCCTGCCACGCGCGCAAGGCCGGGCTGCTGTGCGTGTGCCCGCTCTGCGTCACCGCCTCGCAGCTGCACGGTCCCCCGGGCCCGCCCGCGCTGCCGCTGCTCAAGGCGTCCTTCCCGCCCTTCGGCTCGCAGTACTGCCACGCGCCCCTGGGCCGCCAGCACTCGGCCGTCTCTCCCGGGGTTGCTCATGGCCCAGCCGCGGCCGCTGCGGCCGCAGCGCTCTACCAGACTTCCTACCCGCTCCCCGACCCCAGGCAGTTCCACTGCATCTCTGTGGGTAAGCCTGGCACCGAGACTGGAGACCGGGAGGAGGAGGAGGGATCCAGGGCGCTCTAGGTGCCTGGCAGGTGTTGAGAGCCCTGAGCTGGGCACTGGAAAGGAAGGCGGGCGCTGGACGCTCAGAGGGAGACGGAGGGTGCTCTAAACTTTGGACATGGCGCCTAGGAAGCAGTGAGGGTTGGCGGGTTGGCGTTCAGGGAGCTTTCATAAGGAGTTTCCAGGGCCGCCAGACTCCCAGAGAATCCAGGTCCCAGGGTGGGCGTCTGCGGTCGCGCTACCGAGGATGGTGCTCGGGGAGACGGGATGGATGAGAGACCAGTGTCTTGGGACTTCCACGGTGCTGGAATCTGACCTCTTTCCTCTCTGTGCCCTCCAGACAGTAGCTCGAATCCGTTACCCAGCAGCAAGAGGATGCGCACCGCTTTCACCAGCACGCAGCTGTTGGAGCTGGAGCGCGAGTTTGCTTCCAACATGTACCTGTCGCGTCTGCGCCGCATCGAAATCGCCACCTACCTGAATCTGTCCGAGAAGCAGGTGAAGATTTGGTTCCAGAACCGCCGGGTGAAGCACAAGAAGGAGGGCAAGGGCAGCGGTCACCGCGGCGGCAACGGCGGCGGCGGCGCGGGGGCGGGCGGGGGCGTGCCACAGGGTTGCAAGTGCGCGTCGCTCTCCTCTGCCAAGTGCTCGGAGGATGACGACGAATTGCCCATGTCTCCATCCTCATCGGGGAAGGACGACCGGGACCTCACCGTCACTCCCTAAGCGCGCGCCTCCCTAGGTTGCCCACCCCACGCCCTTCCCGCGCCTTAAAGACTGGCCCCAGGGCGCAGCAATGGTTCCCTCCACTTGCTGCCAAACGGCTAAGGAGCGCGGATTTGGCGCCACTTTACAGCTTCACGGTTTGAGGTGGCGCAGAGTGCTTGACAGAAACGTGATCCTTGTATCCCTGCCCCGGGATCCCACAACCGCCCTGGGGTCCCACAACCTCCCCTAGCGAACTGAAGAGATGCTGCCCAGCGCTCCAGTCCCCGGCGCTCTGCTGGGCTGCTCCTGCGCGCTTGCCCGCTCTCCCGGCGCCCAGCTGGCGCCGCGCCCCGTTGTCTGCCCTCTCGAGGCTGGCTCAATTTCCTTCGTTTTCTTCCCCTTTTCTTCGGCCATTCATTCCTCCCCGCCCTCCTCAACCCCGTGCCCTTTTCGCTTCCCTTTTTCACTTTCTTTCCTTGCTCTCCACCGCATTCCTGAGCTCAGTTCACCCCTCTCCCCCTCCCCTTTTCCCTTCTTCCTTTCCTCTAAGAACCCCCTTGAACTTAAGTGGGCCGGGTAGTCAGTGGATCAGACCTGCCCATCCGCAGACTCCGCGACTCCCATCCCCAAATTGGTGTGTTGTGGCTGCTCCTGGTGTGTGTGTGTGTGTGTGGTAGTCAGTGGATCAGACCTGCCCATCCGCAGACTCCGCGACTCCCATCCCCAAATTGGTGTGTTGTGGCTGCTCCTGGTGTGTGTGTGTGTGTGTGTGTGTGTGTAGAGGAACAGATTCACCTTGTTTCCTAGTCCCTTCTGCACATCCCAAACGGAAGCCTCACTTGCTCCCTCGACGTCCACCTCTCCCTCAGCCCCTGCTCCTCAGCCCGGCATAGCTGTGTAAGCAAACGATCACTGTCACACCAGAAGATATTTATTTATTTATTTATGTACAAAATTTTAAATAAACTTCTTTTTTCTTAGACGTGCCAGTGGCTCTGGGGCCTCCTCTGGGCAATGGACAGGCCCAGGTCCGGAGTGAGCCTCCACGCAGGAACTGGGGCGGGTCCAGGAAGCTGGGGTGGGAGCCCTGCTCCACACTCCGCGCACCTGCAGCCTCGCAAAGACCCCGCCTTCTGAGCAAGCGCCCCAGGTCCTCCTCTTGTGCTGGGGCTTGTAAAGAACCAGGCTCAAAGGGAGGTAGGAAGCGCTCTCTGCTGAACATCAGGTGCCCTTTGCCCCAACTCCCGCGGGCTGCAGCTCTGTCCTGAGGAGAACCACTTCCCAGTTATTGAAAAAACTGTCTTTGGTTGCGCTTGGGTCGATCACGCTCCATTAGGGACAATTCCTGGCCTGTGGGGTCAAGGACCTCCTCGCTTAACTCTGGGCAGTTTCCCCACCACCACCACCGGATCCCCACACCCCATGCAGGGCGGACTTCCCCGCCCCCCACCCTTACCCCGGACCAGGAGCCAACCATGAGTCAAGGTCCCCTACCAGTTCCGGTGACTTCCAGATCTCCGCTTCTCACCACGTTAGAATCCACACCCCAGCTCTTTCTGAGGAGCTATGCCCACCTTCGTAGGCGCTATGAGTCGTGAGATGAGGAAGAGCGTGGGGTTCCAGTGCAGAGCTGCTGCGAGCGGGCAGTTCTGGAGTATTTCTGCTGATCTATCTGGCCATCAGACACAGCACCAACTGGTCCAGGTTCTAGCGCCTTTCAAAGGACTCTCCTGGGTCCTGGGGACTCTGTCCAGGGCCGTTCGTTTTTTTCCATGGAGCTGCTAGTGGGTTGGAACCCCATCTCTTTGTACTGACAGAGTAATTCTTACTAAGAAACTGTTGCTGTTGTTGTGTGCCATCCAACTGGATCTGAACCAGAGCTGATGCTCAAGTGGGTTTTCAGAGGCATTTAATCACATGGGCGGAGATTGCCCACCCTTGTCCCAGAGCAGCGGGTGGTTTCCAACCTCTGGCCTTCACGATTTTGGCGCAGCTTCTTGCCACTAGGCCACCAGAACTCCCTTGTCTGGGTAAAGCACACAAACATCTCTGGTAGAAGCTGCTCAATCTGGTCATTGCTAAAACCCTCGGTCTTTTGGTCTTTCCGCTTAGAGCTGAGCGCAATGTCTCTCCTCAGCTTCCCCAGAGTTAGGGCAAGAGAGGTCTTGTTTCCCACTGAAGTGCCATCCCTAGGGTTCAACCTAGAGCCCAACACACCTGGATTGTGTGCTAAACAAGTGGCCCTACAGTTGGCCCGCTGGTCTCATGCTCTCAGGAGGAGGCTCCTTACCCCTCTTTAAAGAAGCCAAAGTGTTTGACGGGCTGCGGGCGGCATTCTACAGAGTCCCCAGCAAAGGTTGATCATCAGGGACGATTCTGACGCATTTAATTAAAGTTGAGCACAGCCCGTTTTCTGGGACCTCAATGCGGTTGTCGCACCTCCTTTGCAAAGGGTCCAAGCCACCTTTCCATAGGATTCGAAGGGAACACGTCCAGCTCCTCCGTTGAATTACCGGATGTGGTGACATTGTTACGATCAGCTGAGGCCGGCTTTCTCTGGCGTTGAGTGCAGGCTTGGCAACCAGAAACGCTATTTAAGAGGGGTGTGGGAAAGACCTTGGACAGATGTGAAGGAACTGGACATTCCCCGCTCCTCCTTATAGGATTCTCTCTCTCTCTCTCTCTCTCTCTCTCTCTCTCTCTCTCTCTCTCTCTCTCTCTCCTCTCTCTCTCTTCCAGTTGTGTGTAGTGTATGTGTTATGGAGGTCTTGCCTCTCCTCAGTAGTGCGGGGAAAGCCAGAGATCTGCTGTTGCGCGCAGGGTCAGTTTCCCCAGGGACAAAGTGGTTCTTCTTTATGGCTGCCCTCACCAGCGCGTCTTTTTACCTTTTGATCAACTTCTCTGCTTTCTGGAGAGCTGTCCTGAGCAGTGGAGGGAAAACACAGCCTTCTGGTGTCTCTCCCAGTGGTGGCCAAGGCCCTAGCGGGAGCGCGGTGCTAGAAGCGAGGAGGCGGCTGCGCACAGTGCTCTGGGACTTTCAGGCTCCAGCCACCACCAGGAGGAGGGCGCGCGGCCTCTGCCTGCTCCGCTCAAGTATTCCTGGCGCTATCGTCTCTGTCAAGACTGCAGAAACAGAGGGGAGCCGGGCCCTCTGTTCCGCATAATCCCAACCTGCCTGAAGGCGTTGGTCCTGCTGGGGCAGGGCGAGGGCAGGGCGTCCCTGCGCGTGGAAACTACTCATCTGGGGCGACAGAACGTAGACTTGAAGCCCACAAATAAGTTAGAATTGGGGGCTTTCAAGACAATTTTTTAAATCTGAATCAAATTGAGTATCAGGATGAAAGGCCCTGGGAATTAGCATTTAATGTGACTGCTGATCTTTGCCTTCTTTTCTCTGTAATCTTCCCTCAGGAGTTCAGTGAATCCAGGTGCCTGGCCTTGTCGTTAGCTTCCTTCGACCTAATGAACTGAGTAATCTTGGGTAAACTGCAGGTCCCCCTGCGCCTGCATTCCTTCATTTGTCTGTGCTCATTATGCCACTAGTTTCTTTGCAGGGTATCACGAGCCCTAGTGGCAGAGCAGTTAAAACGCTCAGCCTTCAAAACCCTGTTCTGCTGGGTAGGAATCGCCTTTAAGTAGGAACCAGCCCCACAGCAGTGACTCGAGTTATAGGGGATATGTAGGGCTGTGCAGTATTAAGGGACAGAATTCACGTAAAATGCAAGAACAGCATCTGTCACAGTTCAATAAATATTAACTAGTACAGCTGTTGCTATATTATTTAATATCTAGAGCTGAAGGTGGGGGACATAATTGGTGCTGAATTATTTACTAAATGCTGAAAAGCCTTAGATTTACCCAGAAGCATATGGCTAGAGTTCAAATTCAGCTCCCCTCTGCCAAGCACTGCCCCCACTGTCCCCACTGAAGTCCAAACCTCCAGGAAACCAGCTGCCACGGAGTCAACCCCAACTGACGTCATGCCACGTGTGTCAGTACAATTGTGCTCCATGGTGTCTTCAGTGGCTGATTTTTCAGAAGTAAATGCCAAGCCTTTCTTCCAAGACACCAGGTGGACTTGAACCTTCAACCTTTTGCTCAGCAGCTGAGCCTGTTAACCATTTGCATCGCAAAGGATACAATCCAAACAGGATTTCTCTTTCTACTTCCTTTAGACTGGTTCTTCCTCAACAGGTGATAGTGTGGGCTGAAAATTCTCTGTTGGGGGCCTGTCCTGTGCATTGTAGGATGTCCAATACTTCCCTGCCCTCCTGTCACTCACTAGCTGCCAGTAGCATTCCTCCCTCCACTTGTGACAACCAAACGCACCAGGTGACATTGCCAAATTTCTCCTGGGGGGATAAAAGCACTGTATATGAAGAACCATTGACTCATTCCTACGTACCACACAAGTTTCCAGTTCTTAGTGGCCAGGATGGGCACATGGAAGACACCTTCCTATTTTTCCTTCAGTTATTCCTTTATCACATATCTATGAAGTGCCTTCTGCACAGGGTACTGTACAAAGAGGTGTGATGTGACATGAAGAGAGGCAAAGAGAAGGGATAGCTAGAAAAAGGGCCCAGGGATGATGCTGGCACATCCTGGGCACCCTTGCTGAAAGGGTCTCTCTGGGTGAGCAGAGCTTCCCAAACCATAGGGCCTTTATGGAAGAGTTTATCTACTCCACTGGTGACCTGTAGAAAACTGACTCCACTCTTCAGTCATGTCCATGGGTGTCCTCATAGCCAGTCTGGGTAGAAACCATCTTAGAAGGTTAAGATGGAATCCTCCTAAATCTCTCTTACACATACACACTCTCATTCATACACATTTATGCACACATATTGTCTTGCACACTCTCATACACATATTCATACTCACATAGTCTTACTTGTTCACATGTACTCGAGCACACTCACATAATCACACACTCACACATGCTCACACCCACACATTCATTCATACACACTCATAAACATATACTCACCCATCTATACATGCATACACACTCACAATATT